ACGGAATCTGTTGACGCTGGTGTAGGAGTCGACGCGGCCTACTTGGATTTCTCATATGCATTCGACCGTCTAGACCATCATATTCTACTCCACAAACTCCAGAAATACGGAATCGGCGATCCTGTTCTGGGCTGGATAGGAGAGTTTCTCGTGCAACGTCACCTGAACGTGAGGGTTCGAAGCAACCTAGCGGAACCAGTCGAAGTTCAGTGCGGCGTAGCGCAGGGCCCGGTACTTGGACCCCGTCTGTTCCTGGTTTTCATAAATAATCTCGCGAGCGTGCTAGTTTCTAACTGTTTGCTATTTGTTGATGATCTAAAGCTATGGCGTACTATAGCTGCAGTGGAGGGCCACACAGCGTTATAGGAGGACTTGGACAAAGCGTACACATGATCCGTCGAGAACATGCTGCATTTCAACGTCACCAAGTGCAAAGTTCTCAGCACACAGGACAAGAGTATGCACAAGTACCGCTTAGGACCACAGATTCTACAGCGGGCTTCTCACAAGTGCGATCTCGGCGTGATAGTTCAAGATGACCTCGGTTGTTTGAGGCATACTGAAGAGGCATCTAAGAAAGCAAATCAGTACCTCGGCCTTCTTCGCAGAGCTTTCGGGAAGTTTTGACTCTTCGATCTTGCCAGCAATGCTCAATGCGTAAGTGAGGCCACAAGCGGAATACGCTATTCACGCGTGGCAACCTTGGCTCAAGCACCATCTCACCGCGCTCGATACTGCACAACGTAGGGCAACGAAGAGCGTTAGAGGTTTGACTAGCCTCCCCTACCCACTCAGGCTGAAGACTGTCAGAATATACAGTGGACGTTATCGGCGTCCAAAGGGCGATCTCATAATGGTGTACCTGATCCTGAGAAACCGCAACCACCCATGCCATGCCCTTCTGATACTCAGTAAAAACACCCCGCTAAGAGGTCATCAATTTAAGCTGGTCACACAGTACAGCCGAGTGGAACGTCGGCGAAACTATTTCTCCCTTCAAGTGTCACCGCGTTGAAACACCTTCCCGGAACATGTAATTAATGCACCCACCCTAGCCCTTTTCAAAAAACGCCTTGACGATACTCTGTCACATCTGCACTATGTGCTATAGCTCATGACCACCAGATGCTGGCACTAATGCACAACGGACAGTGGATAGTGCCACAACCATACTCGAGAATGAGTCACTCCAAACGCTTTGCACACAATTTAATAAACGCTACTACCGTAGAAACTGGATTTCTGTTTCCCGTCGACCCAAAATAGCTGCACACGAGTAAGCGTTGTCCGTGTTATTTTTTCTCTCGCCTAGTACGTGATCAATAACCACTCCCCTTATAGCTTTGTGTGCGCACATTCTAACTTCAAACCCTTTATACGGTAGTGCAGTGGGTGAGCCAATCTGCAACACCAGGACAGGTACTGTGAGCCGATTGGCAATACGTCGCGTACCAAGCAGAAGGCATGTGGCAAAATTTGTGCACCTAATCGTCAGCCCTCGGTAGCTCAGTGATAGAGCGGTGGACCGGAAATTCGTGGGCCGGGATTCGATTCCCCGTCGAGGCACATTATTGTGCGTGAATTTTAATCGTGACTTCTACTTTCTACAAACTTTACACTTCGCACAAACATCCAAAATTAAATCTGTAATCGACCGAACCGACGTTTCCATTATCCCTTGATCTACCTTTTCTCACTTTAACCTTCCTACGGGATATGTCAAGCACCTGCTTTTTTAACCCTTTATAAATCGTTGTTCATTGTTCAGCCCGCAACGTTACGAATCCGATTGACTACTCTGCGCGCGTGGGGTACTTTCTGTAAGGAACGTTCGTCCTTTCCGAGTAAGAGTGGAAACAACAGACGCGTTAGATAGCATTTACCCGTTATTCGGAATTACCACTGCGCCTCAAGATGGATGCCTATTTTATAGCCGTATGCAGATTACGAAGTGATTTCGCCGCGTTTGTGGATCCAGTTATAGAACCACTTTAACACATTTTGTATAATGGTGATGATGAGTACTCCGATTTTCGGTGGACTTGTATCAGAAAGCACTTCGTGTGCGAAGCTACGCTCATAGCACTCTGGTACCATTTGGTGATACTTGCAACGATGACGATGTTGATGATAAGTCTACTTTTTCAGCGTTGTGCTATAAACTTTCTACTTGTCGCGATTCCGAAATATCCACTTTACTGCTCCACGATACCTCTAGCACAACCGAAGTAAACATCCGAATGCAAAAGGCTTTGACTGCCCCCAAAAAGCACTGAGCAATTGAAGCAGAGCTTGGTTGTATTTATGGGTCGCTTACTGACCGTCGGCTTCTGGAATTGGAGGGTCAGCTGTCAAAATTGGTAGTTCTCTGCCTATGCGGCCAACCTTCAGGAGCTTGGCAGTCATGTGCAAACTTTAGATCAATCCAAAAAGTTCAAAATCCATGCGATTATCGGTAACACACGATTAACCACTGAAACAATGGCTTTTCTGGGAAACTGTTAACCTCTCCCGCATACATTAAATACGCAGCTGGGAGTCTGTTAGAAGTTGAAATAACCTCACGTTTCTCTGAGTGCATTTTGTTTGGCTGTGGTTGTCGTCATCCATTCTTGAAGCAATAATTGGGTTTAACTCGCTAAGGAATATAGGCAAAGTGCCATCTTTACTCAGATCCAGTTAAATGATTCGTGGGATCAAGTGCACCTACGATGACAGCAATAACCCCCATTCACTACCTCAAACTATATTAGTAGCAGAATCTGACCAGTTTTTATGTATATCGATGCCACACCGTTAGGAGAGTGATAAGTACGAAACGATAACATCGATATTAACCACGCTGACCATCGTTGATTAGTACTAAGTAGTAGTACTATAAATCTGTCCTTAGAGCTTCTACATCCTATGTTGTACATAGACGCTATGGAGAAAGTCTTAGATCGTGAGGATAGCCACTGTCCTCTACACAGTTCATAACTGACATGGCAATGGATGAGTAGCCGGGCTATAGCATATTCAACTGTCAATCACGCAGGTCCGCGGCTGTCACCCATGGCGAAGTGGCACTGGCTGCTGGCATCCTGAAGTCATTGGAGCGGAACCCGGCAAGGGTCCACTGGGAGGCGCACCACTGACGAGACCCAGAGTGTCAAAACACCGGCGTCTGGTGTTTTTCCAGACTAGCCTAAGCTTGCTGCTTGGGAGTGGCGATGATTAATTAGCCAAATCCTTGAGTACTGTGTGAAACAGGAAAGAAAGAAGACTAGCGTTTGTAGACGAGTAAATCCACCTGATTGGTAGCGAAAAGGACAGCAGCTAGTGATGGTTGAGTAACTCACGTACTCGGCATAACCGAAATGTACCGGTTAAACGACCAAACAATGCTGCTGTACTCTCTAAGTGAATACATAATTCAAAAGCGGAGAATGTGTTTTTTTTCTAATTTTACTCCTTTATGATAATGGGTAGTAGTGGCGTTCGAGAAGGTATGACGTTTACGTACGTTTTTCTGTGTAGTGCGTCTTTTAAACTTGACAGCTGCAGAAGTTAAACGATATGGTTGCGCTGCGGATTCCACAGTGAACGGCAACCAAGAATTTCACATACTCATTTTATCTCCCTCACAAACCTAGACCAAAGGCAACAATAGCGTACAAATAACAGTATAAATATCTACGAAATGATCTACTGACGTACCAGATCCCATAGAAGCCCAGCCATAACCTACCCCATCCCATAACGCGGTGATACAAAGTCAACCTAGGGGCCACCAGGTAAATTTGGACGCGTTGTATAGCAGGTCGGAACGATAAAGAAATTGTCTCTCTCTGGGAATGGCTCACATATGAAAGAATGTTTCAGCTTACCTTTCATGTACAGTCAAGTAATCGACATTTATTTATTCCATCGCAATTAGCTTATAAGACAGATGGTCCAACTACCAATCAGGAAAGGCACCAGACGATCGTTTCATCCTATTGGGAACTCGTCATTGATGTGCATTCTCTTGGTCCGCTTCAGCGTAACGACCCCATGAACGCTGGTCTTTTACTAATAGCCAGCAGCTTATTCTACTTAACCATGAGGGACGAAAGCTGACCATCATGCATTGAAACCTAACTGTGATATAACCCCGACAATCCTTTACTGCCAGGTAGGTTACTGTCTGTGCACAGGACAGTAGTCAACCTATAAGTTTTCGGACTTCCCTACCATTAGCCTTGAATCCACACAGCATTTTCGGAGACTACTAGGGCTAATTTTCGACTACTTATGAGTCAGTCTATATCGCAGTTAGATTTAAGTTCATAGTGGTCAACTTTCGTCCCCAGTGGTTCAGTGCCATATGCTGCAGGCGATTGCTGAAAGAATAGCGGTCATTGTTCGATTCCCTGGAGGGAACCGAGGGAATACGCGCCACTGACGATTTCAAAGAGAACGAAATGATCGTCGGGTGCTTTTCTGAATTTGTATTGTCCCATTTGGTTTGTAATCTAATTGCCACGACCTAAAAATTTCTGGTCAAACCCACCTACTCCTAAGTCAACGATGTTCAAAAACAAAATAATGATGCGCTAAGCCTTTTAAGTCACGTGTTCAACCAGCTACGAAAGGCGCTGTCAAACAGTGCACTCATCTGTCTGCTAGTAAGATTCATGTAAATAGGTTGCCATCCGTGTTTTGGTGAATAGCATGGCGAGTCCACGAAATGTACGAAGTGTTTGGTAACCAATTTTATTCTGGATCTTACAGTCCCAACCTTGACAATCAGCCGCGACTTCAAACGTTAAAATTTTACCAGTAAGCATCAAGTGTTCTACTGACAAGGGAGCGCAATTAACTCTGTTTACGGTACTGATTCTCAACAAGTAAAAACGTTTTACTTGTCATTTGGTTTGCTACAATCAACTACATGTGAAGAGGGTATATAAGATGATTGGAAGATCCCTAATGAAAACAACTTACAATTCATTATGAAAGTAAGGACACCAACTTACTCAGTGCATGGTGTACTTTGTCGTTGAGATTTACTGCGGCTCTGTGATCCTCCAAATGCTCACATGCACCTAGAAAGACAGATATGAATGGCGACAAATCAGATGGGTAAATGGTTCACAAGCTAAAGAAACCAGTCAGAATGCCAGCGATACAACTGGGTCACAGCACCGGAATATACATGAAAGTGCTAAGAGTAACGCGCATCGACAGTCTTAACTGCTCGCATTATATCAATATGCGGTGAGTGGTGTCATTTTACAACTGTCTGGTTACATAGTGGTGCGCTCATTCCGATGCTAAATTATGACGGAGAAACTGTCCGTGTTGCTTACATACCTACGTACAAGCAGTGAATTCTCCTGAAAAGCTAAAATCGATGACTGCTGAACACAACTGAGTCGGAGCAGATGTGGCAGAAGGATGTCGATGCCTTAGAACGATAGTAGTCACGGAAGTGGCCAAAATATGGACAAGATACCTTCAGAAGAAGAGGCATGGCTCCCAATGTTTCGAGATGGGTGTCATGTGGTTTGAACAATACAGCTGATAGCAAAGTTGCATATTAGGTTATATTCACATTTTCATGGTTGTACAACTGGCCAAAATGTTTCCAACGGGGTCTTAAAACGCACGTGATTAAAAAGTAACGTCTTAACGATTTCCGCTTAATCTTTGAGGAATTGCGGTCTAAGCATTACCCTGAAAAAGAGACAAATCCTTTCGATGGATCTCTAAGTATGAATATCACTTTCAATAGTAGCGACCTTACATTGTTTGAAAAGAGGGGACAATGGTAGCAGAATGACAAGTCGGTGTCATGTCGCGACCGACGCTTGGTCTAATACGTGGAATCTGTAGGAATTTTAGTAAAATACTGCCACAATCTCAATTGTTTCATTTCGCACTGTTACCGCGAAACGTTGCGGAGGACCATTCACGTTTTAGCCAGATTGAAACGATCAAACTGATGAATTGGACTCTGTGCGGCAAAGTTGTCCGGGTTCAGTCCACCTAACCCGGTTCGCGGACTGGCTACGCATTTCTGTGCGCACCATTCATTGCAATCTACATAGTATGACTATGCGCGGCGGTTCAAATCGGGACTAACTGTACATCTCACATCTGCAACCAACGCTCTTTGATTCCGCGGGCATTCCCCCGTTCAGTTTTGACACTTCAATGTTCGTATGGTTGCATATAATGACAATGCTGATCCATGGCCAACTCAAGAAGTTAAAAGCACTATGGCATCAACACATCTTCCATTCTTCGGCACAGATACATAAAATTACTTACTGAAATTATCAGGATGTCCAACCCAGTAGCACGAGGTAGTGTGGTCAAATAAATGGGGCTAAAAAAACATGTTTGATAAGCCTGTGGGCGACAGTGAATTCGCTGTAGAAGTGGACGATCATCTAGTACTATAGCGTAGTTGGTACCAATTTCAGGACAACCCAACTCCACCGGATCAGTGCTCATACACATAGCGAAATTTACTCGTGATCGGTATGAGGCGGTTTTCTCACTACCGAACAACTACTTGAGCGCATGCGTTGGCCTGATAACCGACCTAAACTACTGTAGTACAAAGTCATCAATAAAATGGTGCAAGTGCTTTTGTTGAAGGGGAGAGGAATAATATTTAGTTTTCACCAAGGCTTCCTTAGAGTCATTCAAATGAGGTAACGTGTATCCTGATTTGAAGGAATTGGTAGAGCACGGCAATAGTGTACGCCGGTCACATTCCGATACGATTGGTTGTTTGTTAACTTGTAGGGTGCCAAAGTAGGTACCGTAACGGACTGTACATGTTTCGAGTACACGCAAGCGACTTCTATCTCCGGTCTGAAGAGGTCGTTGCTCATCTGTTTTCCTTCATCAAATGACCACGGCTAGCTCGTGGCTCTCTCGTGTGACGCACGATCACCCAAGGTGAGACACATGAGATCGAAGATGTCACACAAGTCGTCATAAGACTCATCCCCGGTTTACAGGGTTTACCGCATGAAGACCGGTGCGAGATTCTACTATCGCACACTATGTTCTATCATCAGATACGAGTAGACCTCATCATAACCTAATGTATTTTATACTTTGGGTGACTTACCTGTGCTGAGACATATACTCAAAGCCTGCATACCATGCAGTACAGGCAGAGCTTAGTAAAAGCTTGCGGTAGCGGAAGCAAAGCAAGTTCTCCACACCCTGTAGTTCGAACACTGAGCGGTCAGTGTTTGGAATAGTTTACCGGAACATATAACGGACGTCAAATATGTGCAGTAGTTAAAGTGTTAATAAATTCAGATTTTATTGGTGGATTTTGTGAGTTGTATGCTTCTTGTAGAAATTAGAGGTCGCGATTAAAGTTTGCACAATAATCTGCTTCAACGGGAATCGAACCTCGGACATAGGGATTACCGGTCCGTTGCTGTACCAAAATTAGATGTGGAATATGATTACCTCTTGACAACAACATCGCACGTTCGTGAACCCCGTGTCAGAATGTCATACGATATATATATATATATATATATATATATATATCTGGTTGGCGCCATTTGGTTTCAGATTTGCATGTCACTGTGTCCAGCCACAGGACGCCTGCGCCTGCAGAGAGACTATGGGTGGCTTGCGCTGCACCACACACAGCTCCAACCACATACCCCATATCCAGTTTAAACCCGAAGGAATAAGACCGGGAGGCATGTGGATGGGAGACACGTTTCATCAACTGACCCAGCCCACACTTCTTCACAGACGAACACAAGCACACTGTGTTTGGGGATCAAGCGCACACAAGGCGGTGGCTGGGCCGTAGTCCGCTCCATACTAAGTGCATGGAACCACTTTGATTCTAACACGGCCACAAGAACCGTGCACCCCGTCCCCTCCAGCAACGACCAAGTGTCTCCTGGAGGCAGTATGGACGAGGTAGTGGGTAATAGACAGGTAGGCACCTTGTCAACAGGCACATCAAGTACAACCATACCGGGGATATTAAGCAGCAGCCAATCACTTGAGAGAAAGGTAACAAATAAAATAAATCGAGTAATGCATCCGGAAACGTGACAAAAGTTTTAAATTAAAGAGCATATGAAATAAGTTTTCTACTAACGAATCCTAGATAAGTTCACGAGGTTAGAAAGTATATCTTACGGTAATGCTACAAACAAGAAAATTTTTTCGAAATTAACTACAATTAGCTTAAGCGGTGTGTGCTAGTTTATAGAAGTAAGTATAGGTAAACATCTATCGGAGAAAGAAAAGCAATAGGACAAAATTGAAAACCCACCAACTGAAATAAACAGACTTAGCATGCAAGCACGCGGTTAGTTAATCGAATGCAGCGTACCTACAAACGCTGCGCCGGTTCTGCCTTCGTTCTCCGAAGGACCCGTCGTCGCTTCGGTAGTGGTCCCGAGTGGCCTCGCTCATGGCTCACTAAGCCTGCCTGACTCAGGCAATCGCGACCGCATGTGTTACAGCACCATGCGCTCGATGTCGATGGAGTACAATTCATCGGTGCTTGCCGCTTCCGCACTTGCCGCTTCTTCTCTGTATGTATGAGGTCATTCTCTCGCACTTCGGCAACTGCCTTCGTGATGAGATCGCGCCATACACGCCCATCTACCGCCTTCGATTCCCATGACCTGCAATCAAGATTAGAACGTGTGAAGCTCACTTTGATCATGTCCTGGTAATGTAACTTTGGTTTCCCAATATGCCGGTTCCCAATGCTCAGCTGATCGTATAAGAGTTGTTTCGGTATCCGCGTCGAATCCATACGCCTCACATGACCGAGCCACCTCAGGTGTCTCAATAAAAGTATGCAGTCCACTGCATACATCCCACTTTGTAGCAACACTTCCGTGTCAGCAACTCTGTCTCCCCAAGTGATGCGCAAAATCCGTCGCACACACTGCTGATGGAACCGCTCGAGATATCGCACACCCCGCCGGTACATCGTCCACGATTCACTTCCGTATAGAAGAACGGACAGCACCATAGATTTGTACACCATCAGCTTCGTGCCAATGGTAAGCTGATGGTTGTTCCACACTCGGTACTCAAGCATCCCGAATGCCGTCGCTGCCTTCGACATGCGGATACGCAGCTCACTGTGTGGCTGCTGATCAGTCGACATCACACTCCCAAGGTAGCAGAAGCAGGAGGTGGTTTCCAATACTTCGGCACCAATGCTGATTCGCGGCAATATTGAAGATTGCACCTCCGGTGAAGACTTAAATAAACAGACAGTTTCGTCTGTGTTGATGGTGAGCCCGAATTTTGCCGCTGTCGAAGCCAGTGCATTAGTCATATGATGCAAACCATCCGCACTGTATGAAAACAACGCACAGCCGTCAGCAAAGAGCAACATACGGGTAGTTCTCTCACAGAGTAGGATTCTCGCACGGAAACGACGGATGTACAACAACTCAACATCAATACGGTGCTCCACAAGAACATCGTAAGCACAAGCGGTATCAAAAGCACGGGACAACATTGCATGTAGATATATATTAAAGAAGGCAGGAGTTAAGATACAGCCTTGGTTCACACCAGAGACAACTTCAAAGTCATCTGAAGTCTCCCCAATCAGCTGCACCCTTGCTCGCATACCACTGTGCTGACATTCAATTAAACGTACAAACTTACGCGGGCAACCAAACTTACCCAACACCATCCCCACTGCCTCGCGGTCCACTGTATCAAATGCCTTGGTGAAATCAACAAACAGAGAGTACCACGGCTGGTGTCGCTCTCTGCACTTCTCCTGCACCTGACGAGCCGCAAACACCATATCTATAGTGCTGCGACCCGAACGGTATCCACATTGCTCTTCCGCCACGTTAGGTTCCACAACCTGACTGACGAGGCGGTTGAGCAGGATTCGGGCAATCACCTTGACCACACAACTCAGCAAGTTGATGCCACGATAATTCGTGCAACATTGCTTGCTCCCTTTACCCTTGTACAGTGGTAGCACATCGGGCTCTTTCAGCTCAAAGGCACCTTATCTTCAATCCATACATGTTGCACTAGGTGGTGCAGCGCAGTCAACAACGCCGGTCCGCCGTGTTTCAATACTTCAGGTGGGATCCCGTCACCATCGGCACACTCGCCGTTTCGCAGCTGAGCAAGTGCTCGCTGCGTCTCATTCAGTGTCGGCGTCCCCACCAGACTCGTCTTCACATCGTGCTGCTTGAGGCTGTTCAATGTAGGCCAGTCGATCTCTGAACGGTTGTTCAAGAAACAGTCGAAGTTTTTCCGCCAGATCTACATTATGTCTGCAGCCTATGTGCAGGTAGCGCCTGAGCTACCGTCGATCAGCGTCCTCAGCGGCTGCAATCTCAGTCCATACACCGCCTTAAAAGGGTCAAAGAAATTCTTGTGTCGGCGGCGTTTGGCGTAGCATCCCACCTGCCTCGCCTTCTCCGTCCACCATGTATTTTTAATATGACGGAGCTCTGGGGTCATTTGCCGTCGAAGTTTTCGAAACTGACTCTTCTTCCTCAATTAACCGGGGTCTGCGATAAATGCAGCAAATGCTGCGTTCTTCTCACAGGTCAATGCGCCAATCGTCGCATTATTGGCTTCAAACTAATAAGTATGCGCTCCCGATGGTCTCCTCGGCAGCAGCAGTCACCTGGTCGCGATTGTGGTGCCCCACCTCATCGACTATGGCTATGAATACCACATCACACAGGGGTGCAGCTATCGCCTTCTCCAACTTAGTACCTTTCTCCACATTACCAAGGGAGAGAATGTTACATTTAGGCCGATTCACCGCGGGAGTGCAATACATAGATCTACGAAAGTATATGGACGGTTTAGTCTGCACCAATTTGTGAGCAGTGTCACACTCAGCTCCACGCAGTACATGTGTCTTGCGCACTTTACGCATATCACGCTGATGTGCGATGACAGTCGAGTAGATGAGCGTGACCACTCCGTGGGTGCGTCCAAGTTGCTATCTCACTCGCACTCAGTACAAACAGAATGTTCGTGATCGTCAGGCCGTGAGTGGCACACAGTGAGAGCAGTCTGTCAACATTCGCATTCGCTGAACCAATGCCATGCAGACAGATAACATCTGTCCACACCGATGCATCACGCCCGACGCGCGTGTTGAAATCACCCAGAAGAAATAGTCGGTCGCTCCTCGGCACAGACCGTATCATGGAGGATAGCTCAGTTTAGAGTTGATCACGCGTGTCAACAGGATAACACATGGTCGGACCGTACGTGCTTATAAAATTGGCAACCTTAACTCTTCCGAGTCATTGGCGAACAGTCATCAGTCGCGCGCGGATGCCCGTTGGTTCACCCACGCGTTGCCCATGGAAGCGATCGGATATTGCAAATCTGACCCAAGTTCAAGTGGTACTGAGGCGGCGTTGTCCACCCAATAGAATGTGTAGCCAGCACCTGCTACATGCAACTTAGGTTCCTCAGTGAGCCGGGTTGCACTGAGCGCCGCAATATCGATGTTGTACCGGGCGTGTTCTATCGCGGCCAGTGCAGTGCATCGCTCCGGGCGCTCACTCTAGTTCCGGTCCAGTAGTGTGCGCACGTTCCAGCACCCGATGCTGAGTGCTTTGCGCGCAGGCATACGATTGCATTGTTGGGCAATCGCACGCGAGGTCGTCGTAGTGCTTCGGAGGTTTGCTTGATGCACTCCACCCGGAGCCTTTGGCTCAATAGCCTGACCCACAAGGCAGTGGGTGCTTGGGAGGTTTGCTTGATGGACTCCGCCCGGAGCTTTTGGCTCAATAATCCGACCCACTTGCAGTGGGGAGCAGTTCCAGCTCGGAAATGTGATTGCAGAGACAGATTGGGATCTGCTTGATGGCTGTCACACGTAGCCTTGGAGGTACTGGAACGATTCAAATATGTTTTGAGACCGTGATAGGATACACCTGCGACCACGGCCAGACGCAGGTGGGTATTGGCCGGTTTGCCCCAGTTTGACCAGGGGCTGTCTGGCTTGAGGCGGACAGTAGCAAACCATTGAACCCCCGAAGGTGCCCTCTACCGTCATAGACAACGCGTGGCGCTCGTGCTCTATGCCAGTCGAGCTGTGAGCATATAACCTATAGACCTGTTGTCTGCCATGGCTAGGTTTTACGGGAAGAGTGTCATCGACCACTTCCTAACCTCCGAAGAAGATGGAATAGGATAATGGCAGGGCGTCCACCTGACAGGAGAACGACTCGAGTCCTCAGCCAAAGCCTTCGATTAAATGAACACCCGAAAGGCAGCGGGTCTAGCACATGGTCAGATCATCGGCTCATGCGGATTAGTGCGCTGGATCTTAGCAGGGAGAAGGGCGTAACCCAACTCCCACCCAGCGGTCGCCATGAGGAGGCGCCCAGGACATGAGCAGCAGTGGGTAGACTATCTGTCGGCACCTAGCCACTACCAGCCTTAGAGCATCATAGGCTCGCCCGCCATATATATATATATATATACATATGTTTATAAAGATTTCACCGAAGAACAATTTGTACACTGTCGCAAAATTAGGAATGACAATCATGGTAAGTCTGGCTCAAAATCCTTCGACACCGTACAATTCCGAGTCATCTCCTACTGCATTTTCAACCAGGTATGTCCAGTGTCCTTGGTGCCCCAATTTTGATTTTGCGGAGCGCCCCAATGTTGCCGGCTTCAATATGATCACCTTTATACCCGGGACCCTGGTTGTGTGTCGGCCACCTATTTCTCGATTCCAGTCAAAGCCGCGCATGCACACAAGGCTGGCAGGGCAACTGTTGCGAAGTGTACAAACAACGTGCCGGAGTCACGGGAACGCAAACAATTAACTTATTTATTTCGTGATCTGCTGAGGCTATCTTACTTGAAAATCCGACATCTAACCACGTCATTACTATTGCGATGCTACCAACGTATACCGGCGATGCTTCGGAGTCAGTGCTGATCAAATACAGATTCTCTGGTCATCGCCCGCTTGAACTGGCTCGATCTTGCAGCCACACAAGTGAAATGTTCGTTCCTTAATGGTTCAAACTCGACCGTTTAGTGAAAGTCTGAGATTATGACACTTTCTTGTCCGCAAAGCATGTCCGCTGTCTGGGTGATCTGGTCCCTTCTATCCACCCTTATTGAATAGCCTTGAGTTGTGTCCAAGCAACTATTGAGAATACCCTATTTCTCTTTTGGTGACTAAGACGGCTGTTCGTAGCCACCGTAATTCGTGAACCTTGGCCGAAGGCAAGGTTACCATCGGATGAGTACCTTAGACTCTAACCGATAGTGCTTGATAATAAGGGCAAAGAACGGTGCTGAGAAGTCATACTGTTGGCGAAATTATTTATAAGGCGGCATAAATGGTCAGTGTAAACAGTTCCGGACGCCATAATCTATCTGGGACAAATATGACGGTATTACTGCTGGACGGATTATGGTTAACAACAAAGACAACAACAAGGACAAGGATAAGAACAACAACAGTAGCAGCAACGACGACAACAAATATAATGAGACACTTGGTTTCACATGTGTGTACAATCGGTTTGGCGTGCAGCACAAGAGGATTTCAAGTAAGAAGCGTCTCCAGGTAGACGGATTACAATACTATGAATATTAATATCTCAAAACCTGTGAAATGTCAGCTATCCTAAATCGAACTGAGCACGGCCGACAGCTGTCATAGCAGTTAAGTGCTTATACCTGTAAAGGAAATCTACGCAAACAGAGGAGAAGCCGGTGAGTTTCATGAAATTGGGAAAAGCGAGTGCACACCAAGTGAAAGCAAGGAGGAATGCTTTAAGTACCAGACGTAACTACTTAACGGAGACATTCTCCCTGCCATTCACAAAACGTAACGGTTTAGCATATAAGTCAGATTTTTGCATTTATCCCAACTGCCAATACAATTACCATCACGACATCCCTCAGTTGATGTCAGCGTAATTCCTTTTCCCTTCGGATTTGCCAACCCTGGAACGCACTCCCAGACTCAGTTGTATCCTCTCCTACCTTGGACATTTTCAAAAAAGGATTAGACGCCGCTCTTAGCTCCTAGCACTGCTACCTAAACTTCATTAATGTGGATTACGTCAATCAGGCATTTCAACAGGATTTATGTATCAAATGGACCCAGGTGAGCGACCATATTTTACTTTGCTCACGCCTTATATCAAAGACCAATGCACCAGTTGTATTTCTACACGCTTACCCGCGATCAATTTATATTTGACACCGATGTTCGGCAGATGACGCACTTATATTTTGATTTCATCGTATTCACTCAGCCATCCTTGCTTTTATCCCGTGATAAATCATTGTTCATTGTTCATGTCACGTTAGTTGGACCGATAAGACTACGAAGGCTTGAGTTGGGATGAGGATGAAGAACGAAGTACTCTCACTTCGCCTTCTCGCGCTTAAGCTCACGAGGTTTGTGTACGATGGGAACACCAGTAGACCTTTTATTATATACTTAACGAGTATTGCACTAGACAGAAAACCTCTGGTTGAGCAAATTGCGCTAGACCAGTTCAGCCGCCTTAGTGACTTTTGACAACTGCTCTGTCTTGGGAAAGCTGTTTTAATAAGAGAAGTGACTCATCAGCTCGGACTATTCGCCAGGGGAGTTAAAGATAGCTGGGATAACGATAATAACCGTTTCACCTCACTTATATGGCTCGCGCCCGGTGAAATCAGACCCACCAACTCACCATGCACTTCGTCCAAACATTCCAGTAATAGGCCACGAGTCCGTGATTTCCAACGTCGATCACTCATTGGGGCAGCTGGATTCCCCTGCACCAAGTAATGAATCCATTGAACTGCTGATCCAGAGTAGAGGGACAAAGCTATGTGTACACAGCCGAGCGCTACACCAAAAAGGGCCAAGATACACACAATCCGTGTTTTAGCCATCAGCCACACGAACGATATGCAAGGATCTATCGGTGTGAATGCGGTGCGCGTTATCACCCGATTATATTATGTTGAGTGATCTTCATTGATCGGGTTATACGCACTGAGAAATACACAAAACCATCACATCGGACAACCACACGAAAGCGTGCACGTGCTGTGGAGAAAAATGCAGGAATGTGTAGCCTAACCGGTGCTTCGATATCTAGCCCTACGGTTTGTCGGAACCACCGATGAAACATGGGGTCACGTTTAGACACATTCCATAGAATACATTTGTGTCCTTTTAGATTTTAGAGGTCCAAATGTGAAACCCGATGGTACCCACTACGAAAAGTACTTGGAAACCTACTTGCATTCCACTTAGGTGCCGGAGGCAGAACAAAAGAAGCGTAGGCGGCCATTGGGTCAGTGAACGAAACGCGTTCCACAACTCGAGTTGCGTAACACAGAAGTGGAGGGTCTATAGACCCTCACCAGCAATCAATCCGTGGGATTCGATCACAGAGGTAGTCATATAGAGTAATTTATTTCTTATAATAACTTCCTGTTCGTTCGTCAAATTAAATTCCGTGGAACGAGGGAACAGTGTTTTACTATTAATCCAAGAAAGCAACTATTTAACAAGCTTCGTAGAAGGGCCTGAATGAGAGGCACAAGACTGAAAAATTAGCGGCAGATAGAAGGACGCTTTGGCAAACACACTATAGTACTTAACAAAGTATATATATATATATATATATCCTTATCAGAAGCAGAGACGACGGGCTCATTGTCGTCTGTCGAAAGAAAAGCGACATGGTCCGGCCAATTCCTGCACTTCACCAGCTCCACACCAGTGGGGTACGAGCAGACCCTTGTGAAAGCTTTAGTTAGTTGTGCAAGATGAATTTCCTCGGCTGATTGGCTGGCCGAGGAAGTAGAGTTAATTATAACAACACATCGCGAATGGTTATAACCGTAGATTTGTAGAGAGACACAGCCAACAACGAGGCTCGAAAAACTTGGTGCATACGGCAGCCAAGAAAAATAGCTATATCGAGTTACCTTACAAGGGTAAGTTTACTAGGTGGAAAATCACGAAACGTTTAATCTATGCTACGCAGTTACTGTGTTGCTCAGGTTGTGGTCATCAACAAAACCCGTAACTTGCCGTATCCTCCAACGAAGGAAGCTAGACCGAGCGGGGCTAACTCACACCGCATACACCAATTCGCGTGCAACTGCGGAGTCAATTACATAGGCAGAACCAATTGGTCTTTGATTTCCCGAGTAAAGGAACTCGTGTCAAGGTGGGCTGAATGTGAAATTGACTAGCATCAATGTCCGCCTGAAGTCCCGTGCTTACACAGGCCGCTAGATTTCTCAATAGAAAACACTTACTAACCACAAGTCACCGGATAGGGTTTGGCTCAGCGTTCACACTTGTGTTACTTCACCCTAATCCCCGCTACCTCCATTTCACTGAGGCCATCGCGATAAGCCGGATAAAGCCAGTGCTGTGTGTTCAAAAGTAATTATTTGTCAGCTGAAGACTGCCGTGGACATAGGGTGAAACTTCCGTCATTCATTTGGCTTCTCAAGCTTATTTGGTCCCACTCACAGGTGGTTTTACAGCTGCATGCTGGTTATTGTTAATGGTAGTGAGAAGACAATACAAAACGCAAGCATCTAGCAGTTTTGGTCTTCTTGCCGTGCATTTCATTCATTTCGCCAGGGATGCGACCGCATGTAGTGGATTTGAAAATCGGCACACCATTTATCATATTGTGACATATCGACCAACCAAGCATTTGCAACGGCACGTGGCTTGCAGTAAAAGGATTACGCAGCAACGTCGTACAAGTAACAGTTTTGGCCGGACCTTTCAAAGCTGAAGATGCCCCCATTCTTCGCAATGCGATGTTTCTTATTAATACACCATTGGGGTTTCAGGGATTGGAATTCCCAATTCGTATGACGTTTGCAATCGCAACCAACAAAGCTCAGGGCCAATCTTATGAGGTATGCGGTTTAGATCTAAGCACCGACTGCTTCACACACACACGCATCGATTTATATATATATATATATATATATATATATATATATATATATATATATCCTTAGCACGCTCTGTGTACAGATATTATCATTGGAACCATGGCGGAATAGGAAAACAGGATTAGAGTAAAAGAAGAAAGGAAACAAACGAATGTTTTTGTCTATTTTCCCAGTCACCGTTTTTGAGCTTATGATGTCCTTTTCTTTTGTTGGTGGAGGGAAGGTGGATCACCGCAATAAGCAGAAATACACGACCGTCACTGACTTCAACTTTGAGCCATGACTTCTAAAGTTTCCAACCAGCGGCACTCAGTATCTTTGGGATCCCATCCAGAGAGTCGAGAGGAACCAACCGAGGCCAGCTGTTTTGTCAGCTTTTTGATCTTACTTCTGCAAGTTGTAACTGTCCACCACACTGCCTCCTCCAGCGACCGCGAACAACGCATGACGCGGAAGACGCTGAACGGGCATACGCAGTACGTGTCCAAGCCATCGTAGTTGGCGCAGCGAGATAAGCGCCTCGAGGGAGTGGCTGTCTCCACCCAAGACACGCTGTCTGACTTCAACGTTGGTTACGTGGCGCAGCCACGACACACAGGCAATGGATCGCAAGCAACCGTCCTGACGCGAAAACCTACAGTGTGGCCGCACGTTAACTCGGCTCTCGCTTTGCCCTCTGTGGCCACTCTAATCCTCCCAACACAATATTGTGCGTGCGCTCGTTCGAACCAGTTCGACGAGCTCTACTCAGTGCTTCTCAACTCTTGGATCTAACCTGTGTGGATTAGACTCTTGCTCCAGTTCCCAGTTTGCGGCATTTTCTTTGCCGAATTCCACTTGTGTAACTACATCAAACCTGTTTTTCGGAAAAGATTTTGGTCTCATTCGGATGAAGAAACTGAGGGCTCCCAAACTACCCGGCAAGCACCCCTGCAAGTTGCAGCATAACAAAGATACAGCCTTTTTGCTCCGCTCATCAACTGAGCAGCTCTAGGGACGCTTATCAGCGCCCCAGATGCATCGTCGCTTAAGGCAGGCCGATTAACACACGCTGCCACTTTGTGTGGGTGTGTGTGTTCCGCTGCGAGTCGACTGATCGCTGAACCCGACAGCCTGCGCGTTACGATCTCCATCTGCCGCTACCGTCTGACCTTGGTGCGGTTGAACGACTCTCAATTCGTGTGCGTGTTCTGATCTCTTCGTGCGTCACCCCTGGCGCAAAGAACACTCATCAAGGTGAGCGCTTAGATAGGCCTTGCTGTAAACAATAAGAGGACGACTAGCATTCCAATGGTTCAACGTCACCTATGTTGCGCAGACAATTGCAGTAAAGTCCTTAAGATCAGTATTACCTGTTCTAACTGCATTAGATCGTACTGTCCGCAATGTGTAGGCAAATCCGTCCAAGAAGTGAGACAGACAAACCAAGTTGCTGACACAATTTGGTTTTGCCCAACATGTCAAGTCATTCCAGTTGTCAACTGTTTATCTTTGCTAATGAAAAAATGCGATAGAATGACTGAAATAATCGCGCATTTTGTAAGTACTAAGATCGATCCCACGGAGGTAAATATGTCCACGATAATAACTCACCCAGCCAAAGTAAGTTCTGAGCCTAAACCGAAGAAAAGAGCTAGACGCTCCAACCGCACTGCAGCGTCTGTGACTCTAAATCCACTGGGTCACCTCACTCCCATAAGTGGGCAAGCCCCAAACAGGCCTGCTTCCACTTCTCCAACCATAGACGCTTCACTTGGAGATTCAGCCATGACGCCGACAGCTCAAAGTCGAAGGAAATCCGGCGCAGATAACAAGCAGGTAACGTACGCATCGATTGCCTCGACAAACACACCGGGAGCGACGCACATAGGTCCATCTTCAGTACCGAGCACGCGTGGCGCAAAGCAGCTTTCACTGTCAACTCCAGTGGTGCCTTCTAAACAACCCGAATTGCCGGCAAAAAGTATAAAGCCAACACTCGCTAGACAAAACCACGCTGCGTTAACTCTCATGTGCACCAATGTTCCCGAATCCAAATCTGGCACCATAAAAGGCAAGTTGTAAGACGATCGCAACCAGTGGAGTTCCATCTGCGAGGCAATTAACATTCGGGTTGAGCCTGCAATGCTGCAACGCGTAGCGCGTCACCCGACCTCAGTGCACTCTGGTGAACCTCGAATTCTTCGAGTAACACTAGACTCAGCAGATGAGACAGAGGCTGTCCTGCTCTCAGCAGTTCGTCTTCGCAACTCCCCGAGCGGAGTGCGCATATTACCTGATCTACCTTGGAAAGATCGCCCAAAAGAAGCAGTGGAGCAACGCGGTATTCCTAATAGGGATAGCAAGAAAACAATATTTGTTCCTGGTGTTCCCGAGTTTCTGCACTCTTCTGATCACGATGCACAAACACATGACCGAGAGCAGTGGTGCTACATCCACGAAGCACTCTCTGTTGACAATGTTATTGCCAAATCCCTGACAAGAGTTCCGTCATCACCTAACTAGAAGGGCTGCGGTCCAAGGCTAATGAAAGTAATACTACACTCCGAGGGAATGACGCAAGTTCTGTTGGATAGCTGGTTAAAGTTTCGAGCTAGGTTACCAACAGAGATCCGGCTAAAGGCAGCAGACGAACGAGCAAAAGTCGGAAGCAATTCAATGGAATTTGCAAACGTTACAAATTCTTTATTTGCACAGTCCTGCGGGGAGACCGAGACAACAGCGACCACGGCACACAAGAGGACCGAGCACAGCACGAGTGAAACGTCTGTTCAGGAACGCTCAATAATGCCATGCAACATGACTGAAATACATAAACAAAAAACGATTAATGTCCGGCCACCTAACGGTCGGCTTAAAAACTAACACAAAGTTGACATCAATTAATGAACTCCTAACAACAAAAGCCCTATCTTGCATGTACACAAACGCCCAAGGCCTTCTAAGCAAGTTGGCCGAACTTAGAGAACTCCATGCCTCA